AGCACTCGGCAGGCAGAGGCAGGTGGATCTCTGTGAGTTGGAGGCCAGCCTGGTCTACAGAGCTAGTTCCAGGACAGTCAGGTTTACACAGAAAAACCCTGTCTCGAAAAACCAAAACCAAACAAACATATATATATGTTTATATATATATACATACATATATATGAAAACATATATATATGAAAACATCAAAAGAAATTATATATATATATATATTGCATGAGTTTTGTTTTATTTTTCGAGACAGGGTTTCTCTATGTAGCCCTGGCTGTCCTGGAACTCACTCTGTAGACCAGGCTGGCCTTGAACCCAGAAATCTGCCTGCTTCTACCTCCCAAACACTGAGATTAAAGATGTGCGCCACCACTGCCTGACTAAGACATTATTATATTTCTATACATTAGTACATAGTAGTAAATGCTTAAGACGTAGGGTACTTGTAAAGTTTGGAAGAATTTCAGGCACATGTTAGGTTGGTGCCTCAAGAAATGAACTGTTGACATCCAGAAAGTTCTGCCTGGCCACAGTCACCAGGAGGACTCCATTCCCTCTTCCTGTGACAGAAACCAGGACTCCCAGGAAGCATGTCCCCAACTTCCTTACCTAGGGGGCTGGGCAGGGCTGAGAACAAAGCCTGCCTGTGGAGGGTGCATTTCCCACGGAAGCTGCCTGCACCCCTGCCCAGGAGCTGGGCACATGGCTCAGGAAGGGCTCAGTGGCCTAAATATAACTTGGGCTGGGCAGCTGTTGTTCCGGGCACAGATGAAGAGGGAGGGCACTGTGCTGCCCCTGCTCTGCCTAGACTTCCTGTGTCAGGTTCTAGGTGTAGCCTCACTGCCTGGGCCCAGAGCAAGGAGAATGTGGCCTACAACACGCTCTTTGGTATCTGCCCCTACACCGACCTTATTGACTCTCATTTGGATTGGATTTTCTTTTTCTCTCTCTCTTTTTTTTTTTTTTTTTTTTTTTTTTTTTTTTCTGAGACAGGGTCACATGCTGTAGGCCAGGCTGGTCCAGAACTCATTATGTATCCCTGACTGGCCATAAACTATAAATCTTCCCGCCTCCCACACCTGATGTTTTAGTATTTTTGAGGCACCGTCTCATGTAGCCCAGGCTGCCTTCTAACCCATAATCCTATTTGATTACAGGAGTCTTCGGCCACTCCCAGATTGACATTGTCTCCCACTTTCCTTTACTTGCTGGTAAATAGGGTCCCATGAGGCTGCATAGCCAGGCCTGGCACGAACAAGGTCCCTCTGAAGTTTGTTCACTTTGACCCCTCTGGCCCACCTCAGTTCTTGCCCCTGCAGCTCTGCAGCTTGGGCCTTGCTGTTTGTCACAAATTGGGACTCGAGTAGAGGTCAAAGGCACAGGTCTTTACCCCACCTCATCCTAGTCATGTGACCATAAACAGGTAACTTCTCTCTGAGTCTTGATCTCTACCTTTGCAGCTAGCATATTCAGGGTGAATTCCAGGTTGTTGCCTGCCCAGGGTCTGGTTCACAGGGAAGCCCTCATTAGGGAAGGTCTTCAGGTTACAGGCTGGAGCTGAGGGCTCACAAGGAAGTCTGGGCTTAGACACAGAGTTCTGAGACACTGTGGGGGGCAGCCAGTGGAGCAGTTACAGTGTGTGTGTGTGTGTGTGTGTGTGTGTGTGTGTGTGTGTGTGTGTACGCACGCATGTGTGTGTTTTAGGTTTGTCTGGCCTAGCCGATTGTAAGCTAAGTTTGCTGTTTTGAGACCCAGTTTCACACAGCTGGCCTATGAAGCTTAAGGATGGCTTTGAACATCTGATCTTCCTGCCTCTCTCTATTTGCCAAGGGTTGGGATTACACTTATGAACCACCAAACCTGGTTTATGTAGTGCTGGGAAGTGGAACCCAGGGCCTTTGTGCAGGCTAAGCAAGTGCTCTACCGTCTGAGCTCCTCTGCCCCAGTGGTGAGCTATGAAGGGCCATTGTGTGGCGGTCGGTGGGTGGGTGGGTGGGTGGGCAGGGGCAGAATGTGACTGGCACAGCAGATGGGCCATTGTATAAGGGAATGTGCCGCATGTGCCTGACCTTTTCCCGTGTGGCAGGGGTTGGCGGACTGGCATGCCAGGTGGGGGCCAAGCTCAGGAACAGTCCCCTTCTCCGTGCCCCCAGAAGAGCCAGACTGGAGACTGACGGCTCTATGCCTTCTTGGCTTGTGTGTCCCACTTGGGTACCAGTTCCCTTGCCTCTCTGAGAGGACGTATTTTCAGAAGTAAAGCAGGTGTGTGTCTGGTAAACTAAAACCAGTGTCAAAGGCTTGTGACCCAGTATTTGGGAGGCTAAAATGGAAGATCGGGAGTTCAAGGACATCTTCAGCTACGTAGAGAATTCCAATTCTAGGCTAATGTTTACTGAAGACCCTGTCTGAAAGCACCAAGCAAGCCAGGAGGTGGTGGTGTGCACCTTTAATCCCGCCACTCTTGAATCCCAGAGCTCTGGTTTTAATCCCATAGTAGGGAATAAATCAGATGCGGTGGGATTTCAAGTTTGGACTACCTGGCCTGGCTCTGTATTCAGGCTTTTGAGATAGGGACTCGCTGTGTACCCCAGCTGGCCTAGAACTAACTATATGGCACGTGTGGACAAAGAATTGCCAGAATGGGCACAGGGTCAGCTCTCATGAAGCCACTGGGGCCTAGGAAATAATACTGCTGTGTATGTTGTTCTTCCTAGAGACCCAGACCCAGGAGGCCCAGGGAGCTGGAGGTGACCCTCAGGTGAGTGCTGGCTGGTACCACATACCCTTCCTTCTCTGTCTTCCCTGGGTCTGTCTGGTGCCCCATGGCCCTTTGTCCCACCTTGGCAGGCAGCAAGACCTCAAAGGAAGCGTGAAGTCCCTGCTCACAGTTGTGTGTCACCTCAAGTGGGGCTCCGAGCATCAGGAGAAAAGACCAGCACTCAGGAAGCGGTGAGGGGCCCTACTCTTTGTCCACCTGATACCACTCTTGCTTTGACTTCCCTAGCAAGCCTCACCTCTACCCCACGGTCCCCCCGTGCCTCAAGGCTCCATCTTGTACCCCCAGGCTCAGCGGCAGCTGCTCCATGAGGAGCTGAAGTTGGTCCTACAGCAGAAGGAGGAGAGGAAACAGGAGCCTGAGGCCCAGGCGACTCTCTGCCGAGCTATGGAGGCTAGGAGCCGCAGCGCTGAGGTGAGTGTTCACAGGCCAAGGGTGGCAAGGGGGCATGTCCCGGCTCCTCTGGGCGTCAGTGTCCCCATTTCTAGGCTGGAAAGTGTAAATGCTAGGGGGAAATGAACACCTGTAAAATGCTCAGCATAGTGTGGGGCATCCAGGTAGGTGTGGTTGCTTTAATGCCTGCCATTTTAGCTTCCAAGTTCAAGGTCAGCCTGGGCTACTGAGCTGAGACAGCGGCTGATTCTGTGGATCGTGACGAGCTGAGTGAATAGTGAGTGCCAGGCTTGGAGGCACAGACCTGTCATTTGTTCTAACACTTGGAACGATGAAATGGGATGACTCAAGTTCAAGGTCAGCCTGGTCAACTTAGTAAGACTCTGTCTCAAAAAAGTAAAAAAATGTGTTACTCAGGGGTGGGGTAGAGTACCCTAACATGCACGAAGCCCTGGGTTCAATCCTTGGCATTAATGATGATGATGAAACCCAGCAGAGGGGCCAGCCAGATGTCTCAGTGGGTACAGTGCCTGCTGCCGAGCCTGCTGAGCTGAGTTCCATCTCTGGAAGCTCCATGGTAGAAGGAAAGGCCCAGTTCCTACAATTGATTCCCTTAACCGCTATATACACACACATACAGAAGTAAATGGGTGTAAACAAAACTTTGAAAAGAAACCCTGTGACTGGAGAGATGGTTCACTGGCTAAGAGCACTGACTGCTTTTCTAGAGGATTGGTTCCAGTACCCACACGGGGCTCACAACCATCTGTAATTCCTGTCCCAGGAAGATGACACACTCCTGTGACCTCCACTAACACCAGGCAGTGTGGTGCACAGACATACATCTGGAGAAACACCAGTGAACATAAATTTTTGTTTGTTTGTTTGTTTGGTGTTTTTTTGTTTTTGTTTTTGTTTTGCTCCCTCACCCCAAATCTTTTAAAATTAAATTAGAAAATAGCTGGGCGTGGTGGCACAGGCCTCTAATCCCTGTACTTGAGAGGCAGAGGCTGGTGGATCTCTGTAAATTCAAGGCCACCCTGCTATTCATACTGAGTTTTAGGACAGTCAGAGCTGTGAGACTCTGTCCTGAAAGAACAAAACAAAAAAAAAAACTCAACAGAAATCTTTCATCCGCAGGTTCATGCTTATGATCCCAGCGTACCATCCCAGTAGTCAAGGAGGACTACTATGAGTTAGAGTCAACCCGCACTACAGAGTAGACCTTGAGTCAAAATATGCCCCCTACAGTCAGCTGAATCTCTGTGAGTTCGAGGCCATCCTGGTCTATAGAGTGAGCTCCTGGATAGGTTCCAAAGCTACAGAGAAACCCTGTCTTGACAAAAACAAACAAACAAACAAACAAAAAACCCAAGCAAGCAAACAAACAAACAAGAAACCTAGAAAGAAGAGGTGAGGGTAGGGTCAGGGTAGAGGGCTTGGACTCAAAGGGGCGAGTCTAATCCTACACTGCTTTGGCTGTGCAGTCCTAGGCGGGTGACCTAACCTCTTTGAGAACCAACTCCCTCATTGGTGAGATGGGGCAATGGTCCCCACCTCTCTGGGGACTTTGAGGATTGACTTTTTGGCCGTCTGTACAGTCTGGCACTAAGGGAACGCCCTCAGTGACTGTCATTGCTTTTCAATTCTGTTGGCAGTTTTAACCTCTTCTACTGGGCACTGGGCTGGGTGGCTCTACTTATAAAGGAGCCCCATGCAGGCTGAGGGGGACAGGCAAGGGGGTTACTGCTTATAGAGCCCTGGGGTGGAATACCTAAGGACAAGGCTTGACTGTTTAATGTGCTGTGTGCCATTAGGAAGACTACTTTAACTTTCTAGGCTTTACTGCCTTCCTGTGACCTCCTCCAAAATATGGGGGGATGCAATGAGATCCTTCCCAAAGGGGAGTCGAAGGACTATGCTGCTCCCGGAAGCCCAATCCAATGACTTTTTTTGTTTTGTTTTGTTTTGTTTTGTTTTGTTTTGTTTTGTTTTTCCAAGACAGAATTTCTCTGTGTAGCCCTGGCTGTCTTAGAACTCAATCTGTAGATCAGGCTGGCCTCGAACTCAGAGATCTGCCTGCCTCTGCTCAAGTGTTGGAATTAAACGCATGTGCCACCACCGCCTGGCCCCACTCCAACTCTTAGGTTCCATATTGCCCTGCCCTAATCCCTTGAGGCCACTGCAGCGGGGCATCTGGTCTAGTCCTGTTTTTCCCTCTCCAGGCTCTGAGATGGGCACAGGTCCTGGCTGGTCTCAATGCCTTGCACCTGCTCCGTTTCATCCTCGCTTGTTCACAGGCAGATACTTCCCCGTATTACTCAACGTTTCAGGATAGCAATGGGCTCAGGACGTGCACAGGGCTGCCCCAGATGCACACAGCAAAGTGGTTTCCTAGACAGAATCAGATCTCTCGCTTCCTCTACTGGGAAGCAGATGTGAACCCTGTAGTGTGTTTCGGAACAAGGGCTGGTAAATGCCACAAATGCCACTTCTGCTGCGGTTGCCATTCATTACCCACACACCCCCCTCACTGGATTCCCTCTCCCGGGGGAGTTAGAAAATCCACAACAGCATTCTCACACACATTCAAACCCACCGGGGTCAAGGCCCCATTCTTCCATCCTGCGTGCCCTTGTTCTATAGGAATAATTACTCTCAAGTGGAATATTTTTATATGTGTTTTGGTTTGTTTGGTTGGTTTTGTATTGGGAATGGAACCCAGAACCTCGTGCATGCTAGGAAAGGCCTCTACCACTGGGTTAATTCCCTAGGATAGTTATAAAGTTATTAAAGCCCCACCTGGTCTTTAGAATAAGAATATGGATCCCTGGAGTTGGCATTTTGTCTTATGCCTTTAATCCCAGGATTTGGGTGATTGAGGTTGGACTGCCTTGCCTCAGCCTAGGCCTAAGGAATCCCTTTCAGTAAGGGCAGGGGTGAGCATAGTGGGGCACGCCTGTCATCAGCCTGAGACAGAGGCAGGCAGATCACTGTGACTTAAAGACCAGCTTGATGTATGTAGTGTTTCAGGCCAGCCAGAAGCTCATGAGACCCTGCCACAAACAAACAATAAATACATTGAGGGGACAGGTGGGCGGACCTAAGCTCAGTTTCCAGCTTCCACGTTGGACTGTCACAACTAACTGCTTGTGGCTTCAGCTACAGAGGACCCCAAACCTTCCTCTGGCCGCCATTGGCACCCATGTGCATATGCACATTGCACATGTGCACGCGCGCGCGCACACACACACACACACACATCTTTTAAAAGGTCGGGCATGGTGGTACGCATCTTTAATCCCAGCACTCGAAAGTGGATCTCTGTGAGTTCAAGGCCAGCCTGGTCTACATAACAAGTTCAAGGCAGGTCGGGACTCATCCCCTCTCAAAATGAAAAAAGGAAAAGAAGGAAGGAAGGAGGGAGACAGGAAGGAAGGAAGGAAGATAGGAAAGAAGATGAATAAGCCTCTCAAAGATGCCTCTTAGGCACTCCAAGCGGCCCCACTCCATGATCTGGCTCTGTCCACGCACCCCCTCCTCTTCCAGACCCGACCCTTGCTCCTCCGGACCCCGATCCTCCGGAGAGCGAGCGGGAGGGTAGAGCAAGAGAAGGAAAACCATGGCAAGCTCAGGACGAGGTGCCGTCCTGGAGCGTCATTACGACCCCTCGCTGCCCACCACAGGAGCTGAGACGAGCCGAGCTGGTGGAGATTATCGTGGAGACCGAGGCTCAGACGGGGGTCAGCGGCATCAACGTAGCGGGCGGCGGCAAAGAAGGAATTTTCGTCCGCGAGCTGCGCGAGGATTCACCTGCAGCCAGGAGCCTCAGCTTGCAGGAAGGTGGGCGTGGCCTGGACATGGAGAGGCGGAGCGGGTCTTCGGGGGCGGGACTAAGAATCTCCCTTGGGTTGGGGGCGTGGCCTGGGGGCGGGGCGGGGCTGATCTGCGGAGGCGGAGTTGGGAATCTGCTGGGGGGGGCTGGGTTAGGGCGTGATGGGAGTGGGGCGGAGCCTGGTGGCATAGTGGGGACGGGGCTGACATGCGTGGGTGTGGTTAGGTATCTGCCTAGAGTCCTGGCGGGGATGTAACTGACAGTGGGCCTGTTTGCCAGGAGGCGGGGTTAAGAAGTTGGGGTGAGGCTTTCCTTGTTCTTTTCCTGAATCTAGGTCCTACTCGACCATGACAGGCAAGCGCTCTACCATTGAATTACATCTCATTCACTGTTTGTGGGGCTCGGGAAATTGAGTCAGGGCTTCATGGAACCCAGGTTTGCATCGAACTCGCTGTACAGCTATGAATAACTTGACGCCATCTCCCAAAGAGCTAGGATTAAAGGCATGCACCACCATGCCCAGCTTTCCAATTCCCTTTTAAATTTTTGAGAGTCTTCCTAAGTTGCCACGTTGTCCTTGAATTTCCTGTATAACTCTGGCTGGCCTTGAACTTGAAAGATGATTATTTTATTAGTGTGGGTGTTTTGCCTCCAAGTACGTCTGTGTGCCTTGTGCCTGCTGTACCTCTGGAGGCCAGAAGAGGGCACGGGATTCCTGTGAGCCGCCAAGTGGGTGCCAGGACAAATATGGATCCTCTGGAAGGGCAGAGAGCACACTCTTACATTGTTTTTGGTTTTTTCTTTTTTGGTTTTTCGAGACAGGGTTTCTCTGTGTAACAGCTCTGGTTGCCCTGGAACTCGCTTTGTAGACCAGGCTGGCCTCCAACTCACAGAGATCCGCCTGCCTCTGTCTCACGAGTGCTGGGATTAAAGGGGTGAGCCACCACAACTGGAGAGCACCCTTAACCACTGAGCCTTCTTGCTAGCCATTGGTCTTGAACTTTTGATCCTTCTGCCTCAGCCTCCGGGTAGCTTGGATGACAGGCCTGAGTGACCATGCCCAGCTGGCACCGTGATTATTTAAGGCCAGTTCATTGTCTGTGTTGAACTCCCAGAACCCTCGTGATATTTTTGTGTCTCCATATTTTCATCTTTAAATGGGAATAATTATCACTGATCTCATGAGGTTATTATGTAGCTCAAATGAGTCAGGTTTTGAAAACAGCACACAGCGAAGTGTCCCACAGTAAACACTATGTAAGTGCTAATTAATGTGTTATTGGGACAGGAGAAAGGGGTGGAGTTAACTTGAGGTGAAGAGCCGAGCTTAAATAATTAAATGAAAGACATTTTAAGAAATATGGATGAAGCCGATTTGACTTATGTATTGCATGTAACAATTATTCTTTTTTATTTTTATTTTTTTTGAAAAGGAGTTTTTTTTAACTTAAAGGTTTTTTTAAATATTTATTTATTATGTATATAATATCCTGTCTGTATGCCTGAAGGCCAGAAGAGGGCATCAGACCCCATTACAGATGGTTGTGAGCCACCATGTGATTGCTGGGAATTGAACTCAGGACCTTTGGAAGAGCAGGCAATGCTCTTAACCACTGAGCCATCTCTCCAGCCCCTCCATAATAATTCTTTACAAAGCATCTTATTGCTTTGGCTACAATGGTGAACAAAACAAAGCAAGATTGCTGCACCTAAGTCATTTACAATATAGGGGGGGAGACACTAGTAAGGAGGTCAGGGGAAGAGCAATTTTGAAGGGCTTATATGGACTATGACTTTTTTTCTGTGACGTATGCAGAGAAGCAGGGATACAGCCTGTTGAGCTGCTTCATTCATAGTCTGACTGTCCGAGGCAGCATCAGGAGCAAGATCAACAACAGGGGTGGTTCTTGGATGAGCCACTAAGAGATGATGGATGCTCAGGTTGCAGGTGGGGTTGCTGAAAAGAAGGGTTTGGATTCTGGATATTCTGGATCTAGGTGTGGGGTACGATGGAGAGGGAGGTTTCCAGGACATTCCCAGGGACCACTCTAGGGTGAGGCTGGAGCTCAGTGGTCCAGCACTTGGCCAGCATGGATGAGGCCCTAGTTTCATCTCTAGTACTCCCAGGAGTTTTTACCTGAACAGGGAGTAGCCTGCTGATAACTGGAGAAAGAAAGAGTGTAAGTGCTTTTGTCTATTTTAAAACTCAAGGACAATTTTATTTCAGACTGGGAGAAAAACACCAAGGCAAGCAAGCTGTAAGTCTTTGCAATGGCTGAGAGGAGGGAGTGGAAGAGAGAAAACCAGGCCTTTTAAAGTTAGAGTCCAAGCAAGCGGTGGCGGTTAGTAAGCGGTCACATGACTGAAGTGGCTGTGGAGCCTCAGAGAGAGTGAGAAAGACACTGTCAGGAAAAGCTTGCCCAGAACCTGAGCAGAATCCAAAAGAAAGAGAGGTCACCAGGCTCTCGAGTGCTGCACGATCGAAGCTCTGCCTTCGCTGTTTGGTTTTTGGTTTTACTTTTTGAGATCCAGGCTAGCCTTAGATTCAAGATTCTCCTGCCCCAGCCTCCCAAGGGTCGCTGGGAAAATGGGCATTCACCATCAGACCTCTTAGATCAAAGCTGTCTCTTCCACACCGGCTGGAGCTGTGGATGGACAGCTGGGTAGACAATTCACCCTTCCCGTCTGTGTTCTGCATCTGAGTGTTTAGCCAATCAGAGACTGAAAATATCTGTGAGAGGGTGGGGGAGCTCGTACTGAGCATGTCTGGACGTTTTTCTTGTCACTGTTCCCTAAGCAACACAGCTGAGGGGCTAGAGAGGGGACTCTGAAGCTAAGAGCATTTGCTGATCATGCAGGGAGCCTGGGTTCAATTCCCAGCACCAACATGGTGGCTCACAACTGTCCCCTGCAGGTATTCCAGGAGGTCACAAGCCCTCTTCTGGCCTCTGTGCTGTCATGTGCATGGAGCACATAAAGTAAGAATGAACAACTCTTTAAAAACAAAGGGACAACTATTTATATGACATTTACACTGTATCAGACATGATCTGGAGCTGGGCCTAATACTGGCCTGTCATCCCAGCAGCCCGTGGGAACCTGGGGCAGGGGAATCTTGAGTTTAAGGCTAGGCTGGACCACCTAGGGAGACTTTGTCTCAAAAAATAAATAACTATTTTGGAGGCAGGAGAATGGAAATTTAAAGGCCTGCCTAGGCAACTTAGTAACATCCTGTTTCAAATACTGGAAAGAGGACTAGGGCTGTGGCTCAGTGATAGAGGATTTGCCCAGAGTCAGCAAGTTAGAGCCTGGGGGTGTGGCTCAGAGGTAGAACATTAGTCCATATATGCTGTAGGCCCTGTCTCCAGCACCATTAAAAACAAAAGGTGGAGGCTGAAGAGATGGCTCAGTATTTAAGTAAAAGCGTTGGTTACCCTGCTTCTTTTTTCCCTTTTTCTTTGGAGACAGGGTTTCTCCACACCTGGCACCAAGAGATGGTTTAAAGTACAGGGATGATGTGTATAGGTTTAATGCAAATACTATACCTGTTTTTGGGACTTGGACATTCACGGGTTTGTTGTCTGGGGTGGATAGTGTTCCAAAGAAATTCCCTGCAAAGATTGGAGTGCAGAAGAGAGCATTAAAGGAGGGAAACATAAACTTGGATGTTAGAAGAAGCAGACTTTTTTTTTTAAGTGTTTTTTCAAGACAGGGTTTCTCTGTAGCTTTGGAACCTGTCCTAAACTCACTTTGTAGACCAGGCTGACCTCAAATTCAGAGATTTGCCTGTCTCTGCCTACCAAATGCTGGGATTAAAGATGGGCACCACCTGGCTGGGTTTTTTTGTTTGTTTGTTTGTTTTTGTTTTTGTTTTGTTTTGTTTTGTTTTGTTTTTGAGACGGGGTTTCTCTAAGTAGCCCTGGCTGTCCTGGAACTCACTCTGTGGACCAGGCTGGCCTCAGACTCATGAAAATCCACCTGCACCTGCCTCCCAAGTGCTGGAATTAAAGGCATGCATCACCACTGCCCTGTTAGAAGCCGACATTTTGCTAAATTTCACAAAATTTCCCAACTGGGACACTATAGTCCTAATATTCAGGAGGCTGAGACCAGAGGATTGATAGTTTGAGGCCAGCAATGGATTGATTCATAGTGAGAGATCAAGACCAGCCTGAGCTATACAAGGAGAGATTCAAATAATCAAAAGCAAAAAACAAACGCTGGAGAGAGATCAGTGGTTAAGACACTGCAGCCAGCAGTTTCCTAGCACCCTCGCTGGGCAGCTTACAACCTCCTTAACTCCAGTTCCAGAAGGTACGAAGCGCCCTCCTGGCCTCTGTGGGAAGCAGCGTGTGTACGCACGTGAACACACATACACACACACACACACATGATAAATATTAAAACACACACAATAGGCTGAAGAGATGGCTCAGCGGTTAAGAGCATTGCCTGCTTGTCCAAAGGCCCTAAGTTCAATTCCCAGAAACCACATGGTGGCTCACAACCATCTGTAATGAGGTCTGGTGCCCTCTTCTGGCCTGCAGGCTTACACGCAGACAGAATATTATATACATGATAAATAAATAGTTAAAAAAATAAAATAAAACACACACAATAAAAAGTGTCACAGGGGCTGGAGAAATGGTTCTGTGGTTAAGAGTGCTTGCTGAACTTGCTGGGGACCCTAGTTCAGTTCCCAGCACCCATATCACATGGCTCATAGCCACTTGTAACTCTGGCTATAGGGTATATGATGCCCTCTTGTGACCTCAAAGAGCACCCACATAAACAAGGCATACATGCCAAGCCTCCTTAGCCTTATTCCCCAGGGAAAGGTGAGTGTGCTAACTGCTCATTCCTCAGTCCAACATGCAGGACAATCAGACACAACAGGGAGTCAAGTCAAAGCAGGAACTCAGTTTATTACTGTGAGCATCAGCTTATATAGGTTAAGTGACATCGTGTGATACAGGGGTACTCCAGCCAATGAGAGACAGCCAAGCCCTCCCCCTGGCTGGAGGGGAGTCTACCTAGATTTTGCTGTCTCATCCTGACTTGGTAGCTTTGAGACTATCCTTCAAACTTGAGCCAGGCCTCGAGGTACAGGCCCTGAGATAATTTTGGCCCAACTCATACACACACAGGGCCATACATTAAAAGCCAAGAGAGCAAGGGTGGCAACACACTTCTTTAATTCCAGACCCTGGGAAACAGAGAGAAGGGGCTAGACAAAGAACGTCTGCCAGTGTGTTTTCTTTATGTATGTGTGGTATTGGAGACTGAACCCAGGACATCCTTCATGCTAGGCAAGCATGCTCTATCGTAGAGCTACGTCTCCAGTCCCAACAGTGTGTTTTTATGCGTTCAAGAATATGGGGGAGAATCCGTCCACAGACAGCAAGGAACTGCCATATGGGCTATCACCTTTATAACCCATAGCCTGGAGTGGTAGCAAATGGCTGTAATCTTAGCACTTGAGGTGAAGACCGAAGGATCAGGGGTTTTAGATCATCCTTCGCTATTATAGTAAATTGAACTACACGAAACTCCTGCGGGCGCTCATGAATGTTACTTTTTGATGGATGTTACTCTATCCAGTCCACCATAAGTGGCCTGGTTGGTTCAATTTGTATAGGAGCGGGGCCAAAGCCAAAGGAACCAGCTTCGTTCCTCTGATATTTTCTCTCTCAAGCCAGAGGCAGAGATAAGCAGGGTCAAAATCTGGGCCTGGGCCTCACTTGGCTGACTCCTACGAAGTGGGCGTGTCCCGTGTGGGTGGAGCCAGGGGAACTCACTCCCCGCCCACCTCTACCTCGCTTGCAGGGGACCAGCTGTTGAGTGCCCGCGTGTTCTTTGAGAACTTCAAATACGAGGACGCGCTTCGCCTGCTGCAATGCGCCGAGCCTTACAAGGTCTCCTTCTGCCTGAAGCGCACGGTGCCCACGGGGGACCTGGCGCTGCGGCCCGGGACGGTGTCTGGCTACGAGATGAAGGGCCCGCGGGCCAAAGTGGCCAAGCTGGTACGCGTGCTTAGCCCGGTCCAGGCCCAGGGCGGCCCCAGCGACCCTGTCTCTGCGCCGTAAACCCTACTCCCTGCTATCATGGCCCAGTTTATCCCTTTGTCTTGTCACTAACCCAACACTAATTCACCCTCTGCCCCTTGTTCACTGCTCCTAAACTCAGCCCCCCTGGAAGGAGGATGCGCCAATCAGAAGGTGGCTCTCGCCCATCCCCATCAAGGGAATCAGGCTCATTAGGGGCCTCAGAGGCCTCCTAGAAGGCCAGATTCTAGCCCAAGGGCTGTTGGGTTACTGAGCAACCCGAGTGTCTTTTCCTCTCTGGGTACCAGTCTCTCCATCTCTACAATGAGAACGTTGGAAAGGCCTCAAATTTTTGGGTCCCTGTTGCTACCACCCCTGTCCATTCACAGTGAGTTTCTAAATGACTGTCATTGCTTTCCTGGGGTGAAGTGACAGACAGGCAATGTATCCTCAAGACATCCCCAGCCTGGTATAATACTAGGTGGGGTTTTATTTTTCTGTCCACTCCCAGCCTCCCACTGTCCCACAGCCTCCTCTCTCCTGCCTCTCTCCTCTCTCCTCAGAACATCCAGCATCTGTCCCCTGTGAAGAAGAAGAAGATGATGCCAGGGGCCCTGGGGACCCCTGCAGATTTGGCCCCTGTTGACGTCGAGTTCTCCCTTCCCAAGTTCTCCCGACTGCGTCGGGGTCTCAAAGCCGAGGCTGCCAAGGGGCCTGTCCCAGCTGCCCCTGCCCGTCGACGACTCCAGCTGCCTCGGCTACGTGTCCGAGAAGTGGCCGAAGAGGCCCAGGTAGCACGAATGGCTGCTGCTGCTCCTCCCCCAAGGAAGGCCAAGGCAGAGGCTGAGGTAGCCACAGGAGCTGGGTTCACAGCCCCTCAGCTAGAGCTAGTTGGGCCTCGGCTGCCAAGTGCTGAGGTGGGTGTCCCTCAGGTGTCAGCTCCCAAGGGGACCCCATCAACAGAGGCAGCCAGTGGCTTTGCTCTCCATCTGCCGACCCTTGGGCTCAGAGCCCCAGCTGCACCAGCTGTGGAGCCCCCAGCCATAGGAATCCAGGTCCCACAAGTGGAGCTCCCCACCCTCCCCTCTCTTCCCACACTTCCATGTCTGGACACCCAGGAAGGGGCTGTAGTGATAAAAGTCCCCACCCTGGATGTGGCAGCACCTTCTGTGGGGGTGGACCTGGCTTTGCCAGGTACAGAGGTGGAGGCCCCAGGAGAGGTACCTGAGGTGGTCCTGAAGATGCCCCGCCTCAGTTTCCCCCGCTTTGGGGTTCGAGGGAAGGAAGCTACTGAAGTCAAGGTGGTCAAGGGCAGCCCCGAGGCCAAAGCGAAGGGTCCCAGACTTCGAATGCCCACCTTTGGGCTTTCTCTCCTGGAGCCCCGGCCCTCTGGTCCTGAAGCTGGCGCTGAGAGCAAGCTAAAGCTCCCTACCCTCAAGATGCCCTCTTTTGGCATTGGCGCAGCTGGGCCTGATGTCAAGGCCCCAAAAGGGCCGGAAGTGAAGCTCCCTAAGGTTCCTGAGGTCAAACTCCCGAAAGTGCCTGAGGCAGTCATTCCAGATGTGCGACTCCCCGAGGTACAACTGCCCAAAATGTCAGAGGTGAAACTTCCAAAGATCCCTGAGGTGGCCGTACCTGATGTTCACCTTCCGGAAGTGCAGCTGCCCAAAGTCCCTGAGATGAAGCTCCCGAAGGTGCCTGAGATGGCTGTACCTGATGTACACCTCCCAGAAGTACAGCTCCCAAAAGTTCCAGAGATGAAACTCCCAGAGATGAAACTCCCGAAGGTGCCCGAGATGGCCGTGCCTGATGTTCGACTTCCGGAGGTTCAGCTGCCCAAAGTGTCGGAGATGAAGCTCCCTAAGATGCCCGAGATGGCCGTGCCTGATGTTCGGCTCCCGGAAGTTCAGCTGCCCAAAGTGTCGGAGATGAAGCTCCCTAAGATGCCCGAGGTGGCCGTGCCCGATGTTCGGCTCCCGGAAGTTCAGCTGCCCAAAGTGTCGGAGATGAAGCTCCCTAAGATGCCCGAGGTGGCCGTGCCCGATGTTCGGCTCCCGGAAGTTCAGCTGCCCAAAGTGTCGGAGATGAAGCTCCCTAAGATGCCCGAGGTGGCCGTGCCCGATGTTCGGCTCCCGGAAGTTCAGCTGCCCAAAGTGTCGGAGATGAAGCTCCCTAAGATGCCCGAGGTGGCCGTGCCTGATGTTCGGCTCCCGGAAGTTCAGCTGCCCAAAGTGTCGGAGATGAAGCTCCCTAAGATGCCCGAGGTGGCCGTGCCCGATGTTCGGCTCCCGGAAGTTCAGCTGCCCAAAGTGTCAGAGATCAAAGTGCCTGACGTGAAACTTCCTGAAATGAAGCTTCCAGAAATAAAACTGCCCAAAGTGCCCGAGATGGCAGTGCCCGACGTCCACCTCCCAGAGCTGCAGCTTCCTAAAGTATCAGACATGCGACTGCCTGAAATTCAAGTGCCACAAGTCCCAGAGGTGCATCTTCCTAAGGTGCCAGAGATGAAGTTGTCCACAGTTTCTGAGGTGCAGAGAAAAGCCGTAGGGGTGGAGCAGGCAGAAGGGACTGAATTTAGTTTCAAGTTGCCCAAGGTGACCTTGCCCAAGTTAGGGAAGGTGGGCAAGCCCAGTGAGGCAGGTATTGAGGTTCCAGGTAAACTCATGACACTTCCCTGTCTGCAGCCAGAGGTGGGCAGTGAGGTGACTCGCGTTAGTGTCCCCTCCCTCTCTCTGCCTTCTGTGGAGCTTGACTTGCCTGGGGCCCTGGGCCTGGAGGGACAAGTCCAAGAAGCCCCCTTGGTCAAAGTGGAGAAGCCAGAGGGCCCCAGGGTGGCAGCAGGTGTTGGAGAGGTGGGCTTCCGGGTGCCCTCTGTGGAGATTGTAACTCCACAGTTGCCCACGGCTGAAGTTGAGAAAGAGCAGCTAGAGATGGTAGAATTGAAAGTCAAACCCACTTCCAAGTTCTCTCTGACCAAATTTGGACTTTCGGGACCCAAAGTGGTCAAGGCCGAGGTGGAGGGGCCTGGACGAGCCACCAAGCTGAAGGTCTCCAAGTTTGCTATCTCACTCCCCAAAGCTCGAACTGGGACCGAAGCTGAAGCGAAAGGAGCTGGGGAAGCAGGGATGCTGCCTGCCCTGGACCTGTCCATCCCACAGCTCAGCCTGGATGCTCATCTGCCCTCAGGCAAAGCAGAGGTAGCAGGGGCTGAGAGCAAGCCCAAGGGGCCCAGGTTTGCACTGCCCAAGTTTGGGGTGAAGGGCCGGGACTCGGAAGCTGAAGTACTAGTGGCAGGGGAAGCTGAGCTTGAGGGAAAAGGCTGGGGCTGGGATGGGAAGGTGAGGATGCCAAAGCTTAAGATGCCCTCTTTTGGACTGTCCCGAGGGAAGGAAGTAGAAGTTGAGGATGGACGTGTTAGCCCTGGTGAAAAACTGGAGGCCATAGCTGGTCAGCTTAAGATTCCTGAGGTAGAACTGGTCACACCAGGAACTCAAGAGGTAGAAGCTGCTGCCAGTGGAGTGAAGCCATCAGGTCCGAAGGTGTCCACCACTGGGCAGGCGGTGGCAGAGGGCCAAGAGGGAGTGCTAAGGGTGCCCACCCTGGGCATCTCACTGCCCCAGGTAGAACTGACCAGCTTTCGCGAGGCAGGAACTGAAATTGCAGCTCCATCTGCAGAGGGCACAGCAGGCTCTAGGGTTCAGGTGCCCCAGGTGATGCTGGATCTGCCTGGAACCCAGGTGGCAGGGGGTGATCTCTTAGTAGGTGAGGGCATCTTCAAGATGCCCACAGTCACAGTGCCCCAGCTAGAGCTGGATGTCGGGCTGAGCCACGAAGCCCAGGCTGGTGAAGCAGCCAAGAGTGAGGGTGGCTTGAAGCTGAAGCTGCCCACCCTGGGTGCGGGAGGCAAAGGAGAGGGTACTGAGCGTGAGGACCCCGGGGCGCAGCGCACCTTCCAGCTTCCTGATGTGGAACTCACTTCCCCAGTCAGTAGCCATGCTGAGTACCAAGTGGTTGAGGGTGATGGGGATGCTGGACACAAACTCAAGGTTCGGCTGCCCCTGTTTGGTCTGGTGAGGGCTAAGGAAGGAGTGGAAGGCGGAGAAAAGGCCAAGAGTCCAAAGCTCAGGCTGCCCAGAGTGGGCTTCAGCCAAAGTGAGGCGGTCTCCGGAGAAGGCTCTCCAAGTCCTGAGGAGGAAGAGGGCAGTGGGGAAGGAGCTTCTGGTCGCCGGGGTCGGGTCAGGGTCCGATTGCCTCGTGTAGGCTTGGCTTCCCCTTCCAAAGTCTCTAAGGGACAAGAGGGTGAAACAACTTCCAAGTCCCCAGTTGGGGAGAAGTCACCCAAATTCCGCTTTCCCAGGGTGTCCCTAAGCCCCAAGGCCCGGAGTGGGAGTAGGGACCGGGAAGAAGGTGGATTCAGGGTCCGACTGCCCAGTGTGGGGTTTTCAGAAACAGCAGCTCCGGGCTCCACAAGGGTTGAGGGAACCCAGGCTGCTGCCATCTGAAGCCCTGGACAGAGGTGGATTCCCCTCTTGCCTTCCCATCCCCCACCCCAACTCCCCATTTTGTGTGTGACATTACTAGCACTAATCCTCAGAAGGCTCGGAGATGGGCAACTGACTCAGGCAGGAGCCAGAGGCCGGGGACACCTCATTAGCAGAAGTGCCTGTATATTAAGCCAAGCTATGTGAATAAAATAATTCAAAAGTTGCCATGTGTCCTGGTTCCTGTGTGTGCTCAAGTGTGTGTGTGTGTGTGTGTGTGTCTCCTTATTTGTGTCCTCTCCCAGGCTTATGCAATGTTAGTTGAACGGTCCTGGGGGACCCACTGCCCTCAGCAAGTGAACTTTTGTCCATCTTTCTCTTTTCATAAACAGGACTTTATTTTACTTTTGGTGGCTTGGGGATTGACCTTCAGGGCTTTCGTGTATGCTAGCCAAGTATTCTACCCCAGAACTACAACTCCAGCTTTTAAAAAAGCACTTTTAGTTTAATCCCGGCACTTGGGAGGCAGAGGCAGGCGGATCTCTGTGAGTTTGAGGCCAGCCTGGTCTACAAGAGCTAGTTCCAGGACAGGCTCCAAAGCTACAGAGAAACCCTGTCTCGAAAAAAAAAAAAAAGCACTTTTAGTATTTTATCTGTAAGGGGATTTTCCTTGTATATCATAAGCATGCCTGGTGCCTGTGGAGGCCAGAAATTCCAGAGATTTGTGAGCCACCACGTGGGTGCTAGAAATTGAACCCAGGTCCCCTGGAAGAGCAACCAATGCTCCCTAACTACTGAACATCTCCCCTCTACCCCTTTGACTTGATCTTTTTTTTTTTTTTTTTTTTGAAGCAAAGCCTCATACACCAGACTAGTCTCAAACTATGTAGTCAAGGATGAGTCTGCTACCTGCCCTCTATGCCTCTATCTCCCAAGAGCTGGGATTGGAGGTCTATGCCACCATGTCTGGTGGGAATTCATGTGGTGCTGGGAATTCAGCTCAGGGCCTCATCCGTGCTGGACAAATACTCCACCAAGCGAGCTACATCCAACCCCTTAACTTTTAATTTTGAATTTCACTGTCTCCCAAGCTGGCTCGGATCTCCCTTCCATTGTTTTCACTCATCCTGCCTCAGCCTTCTGAGAAGAGTTGGAGCACAGACTGAGCCACCAAGGCCACTCTGCCAGGCGCCACCCTCCCTTTCCCGTCTGTCTGGTTTGACTGCCCTGTACACTTAGGGCCTCGCCCAAGGAGGCGTCTCCTGGTTCCTGGGTTGGAATCAAGGCTTCAGAGCCTCACTCTTAGGATCGGGTCCCAGGGTCCAGAATGCCCGACGCTGCTCAGCTCCTGGGAACTGGGGGCCACCCTTTCCCTCATCTTACACTCACTGGCAGGGATCTAGGCCTCTCTGTGACATACAATCCTAGTCCAACCCCAAGTCTTTTCTACAGAACTCAATTCTGCCCTACCTGCCTCTTGTGCATGTGCGTGTGTGTGCACTCAGACAGGCAGACACCCCCCACACACACATAGAAACATTTTCAGTATAAAAAATGAGAGCAAGGGGCTCTCGCCTACTCCAGTCCTATTTCCCAACTGGCTCCTCATGCAAGAAGCCCTTTGTCTCCACTACACTTGACAGGAATCATCTTCACCTGTGGTGGACTCCCCCCCAGCATTTGGGTTTCTCTTCTCTTGAGCCTAGATTTCGCCTATTCAGTCTCTCTGCCTGACGGTCCCACCAATTTCTCTCTTCTGCCTCACAGTGGGCATTCAGATCAATCGGGTGTTTTAGACAGGCACAGTAATTCAACTTTACAGATTAAACAAATGCAACATAAAAGAATGCAACCCATCTTTGCATCATTAAACAAATATTCTGCAGCATGAACGAATGTAACGCATCTTAAACTAATATCCCACAACAGCCAGGTGTGGTGGTGTAGTCAGTATCTGGGAGGCAGAGGCAGGTGGATGTCTGTGTGTTCTAGGCCAGCCAAGGTTATGTAGTAAGACCTTGTCTCAAAACAAGAATATATATTGAGTAGAAAACGTATGGAAATGAAAATTCAAGACAGAGAAATGGAGTTGTTTGTCTGCCACGTGTTTAATGTCAGTTTCTCTAATCCGACCTCATTGTCTACCCCACTAACTGTCCCTTGTCCACGTCACCTTCTCCCATGTCACCTTCTCACAGACTACCTGCAACCTTGTCCTAAATTGTTTCTTTCCTCCCCTGACCCTTTCAGTACCACAGCCTGCCCTTCTGCCCTATCTAGGGCCTCACTCCATCAGCTCCTGAGCCCTTCGCCAGCTGAATCTACCTGGACTTCCTCAGCCTCCTTGCTGGGGTCTGTGGACTCCTTTCCTGCAGTTCACCCTTTGTTGTGGAATATTATTTTCACTGTATAAAAGGTATGCCACATTTGTTTCTGCTGCTTTTGTTGATGATGCAAAGACATGTTGCATTTCAGGAGGCTCTTTAGTGGGGCTGAGCGGAAGGGAAGGACACCCTTTTTCTGGAAATGTGAGCAGGGAGAGAAGGTTAGCTACTTGCTCTTCAGCCTCTCTGAGCTAGCAGGATTTCACCTCAACCTTTGAATCTTGAGTTCTATAGCAATTTAGATAAAGTTTCCTTTAGTGGCCCAGACAGAGTTGGTGCCTGAGAGAACAGAATTCCCACCTAGCTGCGCCCACCCATGGTTGCTGCAGAGTTGCAATTGCGGGTTGGGACAGCAGTTGCTTAAGGTGCAGCCACTGTATCTACTGCAAGCATTCTCACACAGCACCTTTCTGGGTGAAGACTCAGGTCTGAGCATTCATTCCCTTGCTTAAAGCCTTCCGTGGCTCCCCAGTGCCCCGTTCAAACTTTTTAGCCTGCATTCAGTGTCTTTACAATCTGGATCTTACCCTATCCATACACCCTCTCCATGTCTTACACGCGCACACACACACACACACACACACACGCACACACACGCACACGCACACACTCTAACTTGGAAAATCTTTCTACACTCTCACGTGACTGTAGGCGCGTCCCTATTTCTGAACACCCAAGGTCAATGAATAAAATCCCTGAGTCTACCCCATCGGCTTCTCCAGGGTTCCGTCAGTGGGTGGGGGAGGGGCCCAGCCTGGCACCCCACCCCCCATTCTAAGCCTAGGACTCAGGTCTCTAACAACAGAATCAAAGCCACTCAGCAACGCTGGAACCCATTCAGAGGGGCCTGAGCCCCCTCATCCCAAGCCAAGAGGGCTTTGGGGGAGGGGTGCAGCCCCTGGTAGACTCACAGTGTGGCCAAAGGGGCCAAGAAGGGGTGCCAGGGAGGCAGGGGCTGACCTCATAGGGAGAGACACGAGTGTGGTTATCTTTCCCCCGCTGAGAGGACTGAAGGGCCATCATCAGGGTGGGAGGTCTAGGAAGCCAAGCCAGTGGCTCAGGAGTAAGGGTGGAGGAGTGACTGGCAGCGAGGGCACCATGGCCACCATCCAGTCAGAGACTGACTGTTACGACATCATCGAAGTACTGGGCAAGGGCACCTTCGGAGAGGTGGCCAAGGGCTGGCGCAGGAGTACGGGTGAAATGGTGGCCATCAAGATCCTGAAGAACGACGCCTACCGAAGTCGTATCATCAAGAACGAGCTGAAGCTGCTCCGATGTGTCCGAGGCCTGGACCCCGACGAGGCCCACGTCATCCGCTTTCTCGAGTTCTTCCACGATGCCCTCAAGTTCTACCTGGTCTTCGAGCTACTGGAGCAAAACCTTTTTGAGTTCCAGAAAGAGAACAACTTCGCACCCCTTCCTGCCCGGCACATTCGCACTGTCACCCTGCAGGTCCTGAGAGCGCTGGCTCGCCTCAAGGAGCTGGCCATCATCCATGCTGACCTCAAGCCTGAAAACATCATGTTGGTGGACCAGACCCGCTGCCCCTTCAGGGTAAAGGTGAGTGTGGTTGCCTGGGAGACAGCTTTACTCAACACTGGGATGCTCGGCCAGCATGTGAATCTCCCGTCAGTTCCATGATGTGGCTCTGAGGTGTCCCTGATTTCCAAACTGCCTCTCCTTGCTGCTGTCTGGCAGTCTTCCATACCCTATCCCAATTCTTTAGAGTGGTTGTTGTTTTTGAGACAGGGTCTCGTGGTACAGGCTAGCCTTGAACTTGCTGTGTAGCTGAGGATGTCTTGAATTCATCACCTACCTGCCTCCACTAACCAAGTGCTAGGATTACTGGTATGTGTCACCACAGCCAGCTCAATTAGTTGGTTTTTGGAAACAAGGTCTCATGTAGTCCAGGCTGGTCTGGAATTTGAGTAGGTCCCCCTTCCCAAGTATTTGGACTACAGGTATTCACCACCATGCCTGGCTTCTCCATCTCATTTCCAAGGTCCTCCATTTTCCCTTCCAGGCCCTGAAGTCTCCCCAACCCTGCTCCGTCCAGCTTCCCTCCCGTGGCTCAGGTCAGGGCTGACATTCTAGTGGGGGAGACAGTACTTGGTAAGAGTAACGTGTCAGGGGAGTGAGGAGGTGGAAGCGGGAAGGAGAGGATGTAGGGTATTGCTCAGGAGTGGGATGTGGTGGAGGCTGAAATTTACAAGAGGGCGTCAGGGAGGGGGCACCTGAACGAGTCTTGAGGGTCAGAGAGGGCCATGGGAGAAGGGACAGCCAGCAGAAAGGCCCGAAGGTAGGAGCATGTGGTGGTTAAGGATTCTAGCAACGCAGGGGAGTTCTGTAGAGTTGGAGTAGAATGACAGGGCAAAGAGGGAGGAAAGGAGATCAATGAGGCAGGGGTGGCATTGTGCAAGGCCTCATAGGCACAGTCAAAATTGGTTTGTTTTTCTTGTTTGTTTGGTTGGTTGGTTTGTTTTGTTTTTTTGAGACAGGGTTTCTCTGTGTAACAGCATTGACTGTCCTGGAACTCACTTTGGAGGCTAGGCTGGCCTTGAACTCACAGAGATCTTCTGCCTCTGCCACCAAAGCACTGGGATTAAAGGCCTACACTACAACCACCAGGGTTACTTGTATTTTTTTTTTGATACAAAGTCTCACAATGTATCCCTGGCTGGCCCTGAACCTGCTATGTAGACCAGGCATACTTCAAACTCATGGAAGATCCTCCTGCCTCTGCCTACCAAGCAAAGGGGTCAAAGGCACACACCAACATGCTGTATTCACAAATGGATTCAGA